ACTGGACTAAGTATTTACATTGGAATGCTTTAAATATACACGTGAGATACATGCTTAATATAATTAGTTAATACTATGTTCATCGGTTTTCTGAAGACTGTAATGAGATCAATAAATCCAACAATTGTTCTTGACATGTTGAAAATCAAGAATGAAATATAATGCACTGTTGTCAATAAAATACTATTGTCTAACTTTAACGTGCATTTCTTCTAATTCTATTTGCATGTGTAACATATTAGTATATGTTGAAGATCTGATAAAAAAATAGAAGTAAATCTTTTCTTTTAAACAAATGATATGGTTCAAAAAATACTTAACTTTATAAAACATTTATTAGTTCATGAAGTTATCGACAACTAAAAACATCATACACTAGTCTAAAATAATAGTTTTATCACGGCTTGACCCACACCCATCTTTGAGAGTGTTATATGCTTCCATCTTCGGTTTTAACACCCTGCCTGATTTCTCATCATTATTGAACATCTGTATAATCTATTGTTTTAATTCTAAAAGTTCTAGTAGGTCCGTCATTATTTCCTCGTTTGTAAAACCTACTTCTTTTAAATAACGTTCACACAAGTTGATCGGGTGCACCTACGAACTGATTCAAAATATTGCTTTTAATTTGGTATTGATTCAACAAAATTGGTCGTATAAAAATCATATGTAGAATATTTAGGTTTAAAAAAATGTAAACCAATAAATAAATCCTCCCTACCATCACATATCAAAAACCTCCCTCACACTTCGATACCTAAACCCTTCTTCCCAGCCGCTCAAGTTCTCCCCCGAACGCATCTATTTCATCAAGGGTAATCAAAATTGCTGCATCTTCTTTGTTCCGTCTAATCGCTGGTACTTCTCGGTTCTCTGTCTAATCTGATTTTCACCCTTTTACCTGCATCTTCGCCGTTAGTTGTCGCTGGTTTAGTGAATATCATTCTCTGTCTCTGTTCTCAAAATTTTATGTGAATATTTCATGTTAATATCTTTCTGTTAACATGCTCTCTGTTCTCGCTTCTCCCTTTTGATTTTGTGCATATGTTTATGTTAAATTAGTAGTTCAGGAAACCTAATTTTGAATAAAAACCCTTTACATTGCATTACACAGCTGAGTAAAGCCTCAACAGCACCCTCTTGTCGATCAGTAAAGTCGCCACCGCCGCATTCAGTCAAGATGTCGTCGAGGCCGGAGCTACAAGCACCACCGGAGATATTCTACGACGATGTTGAAGCTCGAAAATACACTTCATCCTCGCGTATAGTCGGAATTCAGGTATATCTTTATATGAATGCATATCTGAATGTATCTTGTTTCTGTATCCAATTATCCGGTTATGATACAATTCAAATGTTTTTTTTTCTTTCTCTTGTTTCTATGACAATGTTCTGAAATTTCTATTACAATTTGAAGGCAGAGCTTTCTGAAAGAGCAATAGAGCTTCTTGCGTTGCCTGATGATGACGTCCCTAGATTGCTTCTTGACATTGGTAAATTGCTTGCTCTCTTTCATGTTCTTTTCTATATTTAGCATGAATGTTGATAAGTTTTCTCAGGTCCAAGTACATGAAAATCTTTTAAGCTAATTCTTTTGGCCTAATTCTGTGCAAAACATCTCATTTATGATTCTTGCATGGATATTTTTGTTAGTAATGAACTGATGCTGTTTTTAGTTATCTTTCTGAAATAATCACAGACTTGAGCTGTTCTTGCTCTCATGGTTTGCAGGTTGTGGTTCGGGACTTAGTGGTGAAACAATATCTGAGCATGGACATGAATGGATTGGTCTAGATATATCAAAATCAATGCTTGGTATGCAATAATTTAGGTTTCATGTTCAAAAGCTTGAGAGGTGGATTTATCATCTATCTTATATATAATATGATTACCTAATCCAGATGTTGCTTTGGAGCGGGAGGCTGATGGTGATCTTATACTTGGTGACATGGGTCAGGGCCTTGGAATTCGTCCTGGAGTGATTGATGGTGCTATCAGTATCTCAGCTGTCCAGGTTTATATCATCTTTCAAAGTTTGATCCTTTTTTATTAGTATTACATTGCTCAATTTCTCAACAATTGATGCATCTAGATTACACATCTTGTTAAAAATTGATTAATCCAACAGTTTGATTTGATTATATGCAGTGGTTGTGCAATGCTGATAAATCTTGTCATGAGCCACGGTTGAGATTGAAGTATGTACAATGCCATTCTTTTTGTTCATAATTTTTACTTCTTGAAAGTTAATAACATCTTTTGGTATAAAAATCACTTCAAGTTGAAACAAAATGAAGTGCAATTAGGCTTGAATTTGGACCCTTGTGTATGTTTTTTCAGGGCATTCTTTGGATCACTTTATAGATGTTTGGGTAGGGGAGCTAGAGCTGTTTTTCAATTGTATCCTGAAAATAATGCTCAAAGAGAGCTAATTTTGAGTTATGCTATGCGTGCTGGATTTGCTGGTGGTGTAGTTATTGATTACCCTCACAGGTATTTTCATCTGTTATTTTTTATTAAAAACCAAACACAAGATTGGTGGTTTTATGTTGATGTTAAATCACCTATATGATTTTTTTTACTGACTTGCAACAACCTACTTTGATTTTATAAAAGCTCAAAGAAAAGAAAAGAGTACCTTGTGCTGACTTGTGGGCCACCATCTATGAGCACCACCACACCAAATGCCAAAGGTGAAGATGAAAACATTTGTTCAGATGCTGCTGATGATGATGATGATGGTAGTGAAGATGAAGAGAACCAAACTGTAAGTCTTTTTGAGATCCATATGTAAATCTTTTTTTCTTGTTTTTTTTCTGAAACTAAAAACTTTTAAAATGGTGGTTTTTTTTTAGGTGTGTATTTCAGATAGGCATAGGCCAAGAAAAAAGCAAAAAATAACAAAAAAAGGTAAGACAAATTCATGGGTGTTACAGAAGAAAGAGAAGATGAGGAGCAAAGGAAATGTTGTGCCTCCTGATTCTAAGTACACTGCTCGAAAACGAAAGGCCCGCTTTTGATTTTTAGCTTCTTTTTACATCGATTTTGTATTAAAGATGTGAAATTTTTTAGTGTGTGTGTGTGTGAATCTTTCATTTCAAGGATTAATGATTCTATAAGAATGTTATTTGTTTTTCCATAAACTATATTCATATTATCACCACCATTAATCATCATGAAGTGGGTGTCATTGTGCAAAACTTTGTGTGTTCAATGTAGTGATTTTGTAAAAAGATGATATCAACATCAAACCTTTAGTGACAACAAATATAACAATTCATCACCCGAAAATAGAATTAACCCTTATTTTGATGATATTCATGTGACAGGAGAAAGAGAAACATTAACCCTTCCTAGCTAAAAACTCAATATCCAGACATTACAACCACAAACTTAAGACAAATAATTCAGGAATTTACAGCAGCATATCATTATGCATAACGACTGTATCTATACAACATGTCGATTCATACTTCTATATTTTACTTTCCTAAAAACCCATGCTTCAAATACACTTTTTTTTTCTCCATTTTCCAATTTCTCTACTTCACCAGTAATGTATTCAGCAGCACTTTATGATCCAGACACTTGAAACTCTACAAAAAAACAAATAATTACCTTAATCCATGTCTTTATAGATATAAATATAGAAAAGATGAGATAACAACTCACTCACCTTCACCATATAATTGTTCAAAGCGAGCAACAATATGTTTTCCATAAGTATATTTCTTCAATGAATTGAGATGAATCTTTATTCTACCAAGCAACACTTGATGTTGATCTGGTGTACATGTTTGAAGAACCTTCTGGATAACATAATTTGCAAATTGGTCCTTCACCATCGCCTGCAACATCATCAAAATAAAAACATCTATGATATGTATGTTGTCTGCTATCTGGGATTCTAGATTTAGAATTGCTCTGATACCATGTAAGAAACATATATACACTCTTTCTTAAAAAAAGTACTCACCAATAAATTATCGTTATTGTCACCAAGACCAATGATCTCTTCAATCAAGACTCCTCTTGTAGCAGAATCACCATATTCCAAACACTTCTCAATAACATTTGATGCAAATTTATGTTGACTTAGTTGTACAACATGTCCCTTCAACTTGTGTACAATTTGGTTTCTTTCCTCCGGTTTCCCCCTCTTTAACACATGCTACAAATTTCATAACAACTCAACTCATCTCACATGCATCATATATTATACAAAGTGAGAATTTACCCTTATAAGCCTTAAGTTGTGGGCTTGTGGCCCACCAAATTTGGGCTTCGGGTGTTGTGTTACAAACTTTATATTTACCAAATGGAAATTAAAAAACAAACCTGAGTTACATAATTGCCATATTGATCTTGTGCGAGAGTGTAAACAGACTCTAATATCTCATCAACAATAAATTGGCTTTGTAATTCATCTGTGGAGTGTTCTAGTACCCTCTATTAACAACAAGAAGGTTTAAAGATTTAGAGATTTAAATCAACAACATTATTTTAAATATTGTTATTGGAACAAAAGAAATAAAGAAAAAAAAAATACGAACCTGAATGACACGACATCCATACGGATGTGTTGAAAGGGATGCAACTTGACCACGAAAAGATGAGATTACAAATTTTATTTTCTCTATTGAAATACTTTCTATACATTTTTGTATCACATGATTTCCATTTTGATCACGAACACATCTTAAAACATGTCCATCAAGCTCACGAACAAGCTTGATTTTTTGTTCTAGCTCAATCACATCAAGGGCCTAACACAAATTCACCAAAATTATTAGATATAGTCCCTTTCAAAAATCCCTTCGTGAGGGTATTTTAGACATTCCACATAGGAAATATATTTACCTTTTGGATCACTCGGCAACCATACATTTGCAGACTTAAAGGCAATATCTGACCTTCAAGCTGGTTTGCAAGCTCCCTTCTTTGCTCAGTACTTCCATACTCAAAAAACTGCAACACAACAAACTAATTATTAAAAGAAAAATAAAGTATAAATTACACCTTTGGACAAGTGATTAATAGCATTAGAGTATAAAATTACGGAATTAACCCATGCATACCTTTTGAATAACATAGTTACCAAAAACATCAGTGATCAAACTAGAAGCATTAGGAAGAACTTCTTTAAATACAGATTCCTTCTCTTCAACACTACAAATTTCCAACTTCTGTTGAATGAATCGACTTCCATGTTGATCACCACTGCATTTAAAAATTACAAAGATGCCATTATTTCTTCTAAAAACAAATGAAAAGCTCTTTATCAACTTCAAAATTAATCCAAAGTCACAATTGTTACTGACCAGAATTCAACAATGTGCCCAAAAATATCAGAAAGATCAAGCCTACGACCTTTCCCAGATTTCAATTCTTCAAGAAATGAATAGGTTTTAGGATCTTTAAAAACCTGATGTCCACCATAAGAACCTGAAGGTGACCTCACTCCATTCCTCCCACCATGGAAACCGACCCCACCAATCGGGGATCCCGGGACAGGTGGACTAGCAAAATTCGAGGGTGGAAACTGTAAAATACCAGAATTTGTTGGGCTCCCAAAATAGTAAGGATTCATAGTATGAGTATCTATTCTTCTTGAATTCAAATTATGCCCCATGAGTCCTAAAGATTGTTGTTTTGGCATTATCTGATGATCATCCCCATGTGTAGAAGAAATCTGCAAACTTTCAAGAAATGGAGGTTGAATTTGTAATCCTGGGTGCCCATAGAACTTGTTGAAATGTTGCAAATTAACACCAGAGGTTTGACTTTGATTTTGACCAATGAAGCTTTGAGAAGCAGTGATATCGAAAGGCATAGGGACATGAACAGGATTTGTAGGGAGGTATCCAGTTACATAAGGTGAAAGAGAAGGTTGATGATTGAAAGCATATCCGGTTACGTATTGTTGAGGAGGGAAGTATCCAGATTGAATCATATTCGGGTAAACAGGATTAGCCGTCATCATATATGAACCTGATGCATATGGCGACTGTGATGTCACTGAATTTGAGGGACTTTGAAGATATTGGTTCATGTTAATGTAGGTTTGATGTTGTGGGCCCGGCCCGTATACTTGAAACATTGTTCTTCGGTCTCTTTGACTTTGACTTTCTGCATTCGGAAGATTGTCTTGTGAATGATTAATTGAAGTAGTGTTAATGGAAGATGGAGGGGGGTTTGAATACAAAAGTCGCCCCGTATCATGATCATCTGTTTCCTCTGTTTCTTCCTGTATGGAATTAGACAATTAGTATTATGAATTATGATTATGATTAAACTCAGAGAGAAACAGAAATCAGTTATGTTTCTATGAAAAATCTGAAGATACCTGTTTTGGTGATCGATCATCGTCTGATTCTTCTTTATGGGTGGAAAGATTACTCTGATTTGGGCGGAAAGAATCATCAAAAGATGTCAGTCTTTGATTATTTCCTACAAACAGATGTCTATTTTCGTCTGAGATTAGAGGTGGAGGGAGTCTAGGGTTTAAATTGACGTGGTTCGAGTAATACGCAATGTAAGAAGGATCCGCGCGAAGCTGTTCTTCAGATTCAGACATATTTTGAGAAATTTTATGTCTCGACATGAAGTTTTCAATGGCGGCAAATGAACCTTCCATGCTTGGAGGAGCACTTCCGCTTCGATTGGGAGGTGAAGTTTTCTGTTTTTCTTGAAAATTTTGAGCTTTCAAGAGTAATCCCAGGTCCTCGATGTTCATGTTCGTAGATTGTTTCCCGAATGCATCCATGATTCTGATTGGGCTTTCGGTGGTCATTTCAACAGGAAGGATTGAAATTTTCCCACTTTTTGTGATTCAAACCGTCGAAATCATCCCATTTTTTTGTCTGAAAAGTTGCAGAACCACGACTGTGATCGAAAATAAAGGTAACATTTTGAAGGAGAAGACATTCAATTAGCACAAACCTCAATAATCTATTTATACTTTAGTTTCATTAGCTTCAAATTCTCAGAAAGTAAACAAAATCAACAAAAACTATGACTTCCATTAAGTTCAAATCAAGAAAACTGGAAAACCCATATACCAGAAAACGAAAAGATACAAACATGATGAACTAAGAACTCTTTTTGATCGGTATAAACACAAGATTCTTTAATTTAGGGAAAAACCCACATGAAACCATGCAAACGAAAGAAGCAGATACAATCTTTATCAAGTAACAGCAATCAACAAGAAGTAAACTCAAATTCATGGAACCCTAAAACCAAAATCGGTTAAAGAATTGAGAAAACAGTGAAATAAAGAAGATTGTCACCTGGGTTTTGTCTAAAACAGGTGCATATTCAGTCTTGAAAACCCTAGATTCTGTAGAATAGCTGCTGGTGATCAGAGAAGAAAAAAGGGGTGTTGAAAATGAAATGGGGTGGGGCTTTGGGGACATTTAGAGGTCATAAAAGGTGAAAAAAGTGCTAATTCCAATCTCTAGTTTTGTATTTTGCATCCAAAGGTAATGCAAATAATGCCAGAAGAAGGAAGAAAACGACAAGAGAGTAACCTGCCATAGAGGTTTTTGGTTAGAAAAATGGGAATCAGATTATTCATTAGATGCTGTAGTCAGCAAACCAAGGAGCAGATATACACTCAACCTTCTTCTTTTTTTTCTATATCAAAAAATTATTATTATAAGTCTTAAAATAGCAAGAGGAAAAGGGAAATGAACTATTTTTCCTATGTTTTTCTAGGATAATAATAATGCCAATGGACAAGTGTCAACATTACTTTACTCTCTTTGTGTCTTCTAAACTTGTATAAAATTATTAATTTAAATTATAATATGAAAGTTTATACCATAGTATATTATTTTGGTATATGTTATATGTATTAAGCTTTACTTTATCAAAGCAGTAGAAGGATCATTTTCAGTCTAGATAAAAGCTTAAACTTGGATTTTCATTTATTTTTAGAACTTGTGAATTTATGAAAATGATATAATAGAGACAAATTGATGTTATGCGTAATAAATAAATTATTTTTATCTGAATACAAATATACTATTTAAAACTGAAGAGGATAATTTATTAGAATAAAAAAAAATACGAATATACTAGTTTTGATATGAAAAGGAAAGTTTGGATTAATTTACAGGAAAATACATTATCATATTGACAAAATGTGGTATCCCAAGATAATTTTAATCATTATGACATTTGGCCAATACCTAACTTGCTAACACCTATCCCTGCTACTCTATTCTAAATTGCTCTACAATCTAAGCGCATCTTCAATATTTACTTTTTTTTTTCTAAAAACATATTATTTTTAACGCAATAACAATTT